TTTTTTTTTTTTTTAGACAGTCTCACTTTATCTCCCTCAGTAGAGTGCTGTAGTGTCACAGCTCACAGCAACTTCCAACTCTTGGCCTTAGGCAATTTTCTTTCCTCAGCTTCTGGAGTAGCTGGAGACTACAGGTGACCGCCACAAGGCCTATTTTTTTGTTGCAACTTGGCCGGTGCCGGTGCCCTACCGACTGAGCCACAGGCACCACACCCTTTTCCCAGTAAGTTTTTATAAGCTATAGTCATTGAGAAAAAACAGCTGAGACTGATTAATGAAATGCTGAGTGCAGGGTTTGGAAAGTTCCCAGGTCCCAAGTGTATAGTCAATTGGCTTCTGGCTCAGGGCCATGTGATTAGGTGAAGGCAGTGGAACCCCAAGACTGACTGTTGGGGTATGGACCCCCAGGTGGAGAGAGTGGGGCCTCTAGGATGCAAACTCTCCAGGGAGGGGCTGCCCTCTGCCCTGGTCCCTGTTGACTCCCAGGAGTGGCTTTTGCGGGTAGGAGCCCTGCCCAATCTCCCTGTCCTCCCACTGCACCCCATGTACCCTGCCTTCCTCTGGCCCTCCTAAACTAAACTGGGCATTTCCTGCAAGCAAGCTGGGTGAAAGGACCATGCACTCCCCAAGTCAGGGCAGCTCCAAGAAGGTGTTCTGTGAGTATTCAGTTGCTGGGACTCAGCATGGGGCTAGCCCTAGGGGAACTTGCCCGGTTCCCACCCTGCCCTCTTGCCCCGCCTCGCCCTGGATTAGTTTCCAACCTGGGTGTTCAGTGTTCTGTGAAAACCTGCAAGCTCTGGTTGAACTCTGATTCAAATAAACTCTTAACTAAACAGCATGCCAACTGGGAAAATCTGGGCACTGAATGGATATTTGAGGACACTGGAGATTTACATGTAAGGAATTACTACTGTAATTATTTTTCCCAGGGAGAAGGCCATTGGGTGGGGGCCACTTTCTGTAAAAAAATTTTTTTTTAAAAAATGTCTTTAGACATGGGCTTTAGTATTTATATATAAATGACACCACATCTGAGATTTGCTTCCAATTAACCCAGTGGGCAAGGAGGGCTTGTAGGGTTGGGGGAACCCATATAGAGAGCTGCCCTGTATGGTCACAGCTAAAGCTGGGACAAGGAGATAGTGTGGGTCCTTCCCTTCAACACTAGCTTTGGTGAGACAGTAGTTTTCAGCTCTTCCCAGAGCTGGCAAACATCACCACAATCTCAATACCCCTGAAACCTCCCTAAGTCTCCCTTTCAGGCCAAGGGCAGGGTCTGAGTGTGACCACCAGCCCCTCTCCTTCCCCTGCCTGTCCTGAGACATCGCAAGGCCACCAGTCTGTTCTGGGCTTGGTAGACAACTGGCCAGGGGACTTGAGGGACATCCCCTGCAGCATGGAGCAAGAGGCACCGCTGCACCTCCAGCCCTTACTCCCCTGATTCCTCTGTCCACCAGCAGCCAAATGTCATTGTCCCCGGATGGCTCCCATCTTTATTAGCAGCCACTGCAAAGCTGGGTGGGCTGCAGCCCTTCCAGGGGACTAGGAAAGCAGCTGGATGCAGCAGCCAGCTCTGTTGCCAGAGTATAAGCAGCTCTGGCAGCAGAACTGGACCAGTGGGCTATGGGTCAGCAGCCATCCACACGGGCGGCCCGCACGATGCAACCTATTGCTTGCTTCAGGCCCCGCAGCCCAGTGTGGGTCCTGTTCCCCCAAGGAACCAGGAGGAAAGAATAAAGGTGGCGTGAGGGACATGGGCACAGTCCTTGAAGACAGCAACAGCCTCTTAGCATTGAGAAGTTTTGGCAAAACTACCCATTAAAGCAATCAGGGGATGGCGGCTGGGGGTGGGCAGGGACCTTGGGGACCATGTTCGTCTGCTCTGAAGCCTCTCCTTCCTGACGCTGGTTCCTGATCTGTGTTTTGTTCACTTCAGCTGGGAGCAGGCACCTTGGGAGCTGTAGCTAGTCACAGGACATACAAGCATGAGTTTCTCTTGGGAGATAGAAGGTGCATGTGCACACAGGCGATGTCCCCCAAGTGCTGATAGAAACGCTTGTGGGCTCAAGCATCAGGTCTGTGAGAGAAGTGGCTCCAGCCCAGGAAGGGGGCCAGCCATTGTGGAAGTGGGGCAGGAAGGGCCAGGGAGGGGACAAAGATCACTGGAATGAGCTCAGCCAGCAAGCCAGAGAGTAGGGCGGGGCCCCAGAGGAGGGGCCAGGGCTCCAGGAGCAGGTGTGAGGCTCCAGTGACCACCCTGGGACCCTTTGGAAGAATCTGGCCCTGGTGGCCCAGCCTGTACCCACATCTCGGTCAGGATGGCACTTTGATGCCAAAGTGTTTGCGGAGCTGCTCCAAAAACACGAAGGTGAGCACAGTGTGAGGGATGAGACGGATGCCAGCAGGAAAGAGGCCCTGGAAGGAGACACAGACACATGAGAGACCAAGATGCCAGGAGCCGGGGACCGCCCCCGGGGACCTGCCCCCACCCCACCCCCAGCGGCCGCACCTTGTAGAAGGCCAGTGGCCCGAGCTTTGCTGTCTCCACTGCACAGTGGAAAACACCCTGCAGAAAACACAGTGAAGCAATAAAGAAAAAAAGATGCTTCTCATGAAAAGGCACAAATAAACCATTAAACTCACTCCTGGGTCAGGGCAGCGACTCCTGGCTGGCATCCCACGTAATCCTCCCCAGGAGGCTGCAGTGAGCTGAGACTGTGCCACAGTACTCCAGCCCAGGCAACACACCACAGTGAGACCCTGTCCCCGGCACCCTGACCCTGCTGCCCATGCACCTGATACTCCCCCTTGGCGTTCATAAGGCGAGTTTTCAGCACGTCCAGGGGCTGGCACAGGAACGTGGCACATCCTCCCTGGAGAGGGGTTTGTCAGCAGTGGGCCTGCAGGCACTGCCCATGTCACCTCGATCCCCACCCACAGGAGGCACCTGGGCTGACTTGTGAGCTCCCATGTGCCCAGTGGCCACTTCTGGGCTTCTGAGAGGCAACATCAGATTTACCAAGGCCCTCTGCGCCCTTGAGCCCTCCTTGTACCCAGGGTCCTTAGCTCCCAAGACCAGTTCAGGGCCCTCCCCATCCCCAGCCCAGCAATGCCCGTCACTGACCGCAATGAAGCTGGCGACAAAGTGAGTGAAAATGTTGTCAGGTAGGTATCCAGTGCTGAGGACCAGCTGCTTAGCCTGGTCATAGCAGGACAGCTGCAGGCAGGAGAGGGATGGTCAGGGCTGTGGACAGCCCCCAGCTCTGCAGAAAGCAGACAGGGCCCCGCAGTTGACAGTATGTGCTTTGTCCAGGTCATGGGCAGAAAACGGGAGGGGCTTGCCCCAGATCTCACACAGGCCATGGCCCTGACCCACTGTGTCAACCTCCCCACAAGAGCTCTCAGAGCCCACTGCCCTGATCTGGGACCCCTCTGAAAACAGAGTGCAGTGACTGTCGATGCTCCCCAAGCCCCAAGCTGCACAGGAGCCTACCTGGCCCACGGTGACCAAGGCCCCACGGCTGGATGCCATAGTGGCGCCCGAAAATAGCTTCTTCAGACCCTCTGCACAAGGAAAGGGTAAGGTTGCATACCTGGCCACATCCCTCCAGCCCCCCAGTCCTGCACAGCGTCCCTGGCCACCTCACCTTCTCGAGCCACTCGGTATAGGCCATCCAGGGCGTGGGCGTAGCTGCCGAGAACATGGAACGGGCCACGTAAGGCCCTTCCTGACCACTAGGTCTCACAGGAAGGCCCTCCTGGGCCCAGAAGAACCATGTCCTATCACAGACCCCAAAGATCCTACCCCAAGGGAACACCTGGCGACCAGCCCCTTTGGGGGTTACCCCACCCCACTCACTCCAGCCTGACTGCTTTAAGCAGCTGGCTGTGCCCAAACCACCCAGTTTGTCTGAGCTGCAGGCACACCACTGCCCACACAGACAGAAACAGAAACTCCTGGACTCCTTGCAAGGGGCAGGTAAAACAGCTCTCGCTGTTGTCAGACTGGATGCTGGACACTAATGGAAGGATAGTGGGCAGCCCCCCGTCCATGCATCCGGAGGCCCTTCTGGACACCCACAGCCTCAACATCTCTGCACTCACACCACACTGGGGCACCCAGCCCCCCAAGACCACTCTCAAGCACCCAGGCTTGGGGAGCATGGTACCCAGGCCGGCTCAATCCAATAAGTCTTCCCACACAGAAAGAGCCCAAATGTCCCAGGGGACCCGTGACACTTCTAATGACTCTAGAACAGACGTGCCCTCAGCATTCCCTCCACCACTCCATGCCAACCCACAGGCAATGTGGCCTGCTGGAGCTGGGGCTAGGTCATAGCAGAGTCACTTGGGTTCCCTCCCTCCCGCCCCCCTGCCAGGCCTCCTGTACCTCCAGTGGCCCCCAAGGGCACAGCCCAGCCCAGAACTCACTTGCGCCGCTGACCCTGTGGCAGCTTCATGTCATTCTGCATCCTGTAAGTGCAGGGTGGGTGATAGGTGAGTTTGCCCAGTGGTGAGCTGTGCCCACAGGGAGGGCAGGTGTGCCAGGGACCGGCAGCTCCAGCCCCTCCCATGCTTGGTACTCCAGGGCCCAAGTGGCTCAACCCAGGCTGAACACGCTGCAGGCACTGTGAGCAGCCCCAGTCAGCCTTGGCCCATCTGGGGATAGGAAAGCCCCAACCTTGGGGGGCAGGAGCACACCAACCTGACGTTGACCAAGTCCGCAGGAGTCCCCACGAAGCCTCCAGTTAAACCTGGGGTAACATAAGCCCCAGAGCCAACAAATGATCACCTTTGGTGCCCCTCCCATCACCTTACACCCCTTCTGCCTGGCCACTCACCGCTGACAGAGCCCAGCAACACCTTGGTGTAGAAGGGGAGAGGCCCCTCGCTGCCTTTGGCTACGCTGTCCCGCACAGTCTCATAGATGGCAAACCGGGTCAGGGAGTAGGTCATCTGGGGATGAAGGGCCCAGCTAAGAGGGACACACCCTCCACCCCAGACCTAACCAGTGCACAGCCATTGGTCTATGGACCACAGGGACACACAGAGGCTTTTGCAAGGGCACTTGGCCAACAAGCAGCTGAGCCAACTCACAAATTCAAGTCTACACCCTCTTCTCGCCCTCCTATGCCTCAGTTTCCCCATCTGTAAGTGGAAGTATTTGGCCCAACCATAAGAACTGAGCTAATGCTCGTGGAAGGCAAAGTCATGCCCCACACCCACCTTGGGGTAACTGGCCCTTTGGTCTCAGGGGTCCTTCCTTGTGTGACATCTGGAGGAGGTGGCAGTAGCCCAGACGACCATTGCAGGTCTGGGTCCAGGTCTGGGAGGTGGCAGCCACCTGCACCCACCTGCACCGCTCACCTGTCTGCACAGCGAGGCACTCAGGCCGTTGTAGAGCGCCAAGATGCCGTCGGAGCGCACCACCTGCAGTGCCATGCCCGTCATGCGCAGCCGCACCTCCTGCTGGGTCTGCAGGTGCACCTGCAGGGAGGGATGCTCTCAGACCCTTAGATGCTCCTGCAGGTTCAGTGCTAGAGAAAGGAAACTGAGGCAGAGGACAGCACTTCCCCCAGCCCCGCCCTCCAGACTCTGCAGCCTAGATGCTTCTCCACACAATTGCTTAAGAAAAGCGACAGCTGCCTTTGGAGCCCAGGCAAGCCTGCCAGGCCCTGAGAAATACCCAAGGTACACCAGCTCTGAGTACTCATGCTCCTGCCATAGAGGCTCCCCATCCCCATCTTGCAGATGAGAAAACTGAGGCACAGAGAGGTGAACACCCCTGCTGCCATGAGGACTTGGGCCTGGCAGGTTGGCTCCAATACCCTTCCTTCCCACCAGCATGTCTCGTGAAGGACAAAGATCTATGGGGACTCAGATGGCCAGGTAGCCCAGACAACGGGCCACCCAAAAGGGCCCAGAGGGGCAGGGGACTCAGCAGGGAGGATCCCATGAGGCCACAGCCAGGGCAAGGCACAGTGGTCTTGGCTGGCCTGAGCCAAGGGAAGTGCCTAGGGTGTGTGGGGGCTGTCCACTCCTCAACCTCCCCCACCAGCTGGTGTCCCAACTCATGGTGCCTCCTCTGCCTTCTAGGCCAGGAGAGAGCTCCAGGCAGAAGAGAGTGAACCAGGGCCTGACAGGATCAGATGGAGGAGGCCAGAATCTGTCCTCCACAGTCCCCACCTCGGAATAGGTTTCAAGAAGCTCATCTACAGCTAAGTGCCCTCCCCCACATGCATGGCCACCTTCAAACACGCCTAGGGGAGCCCCTCAAGGGGCAGGGGAGAGCAAAGCTAGTAGGGGTTGGGAATGCAGCACAAGAGTCACCCTCCCATGCATGAAAACACACAGTGGCCACGTGGGCAGCAGTCTCTGTCCAGGCCAGGCACCACTGTGGGGCGCAGTGACCCAGGAGCTTTGAAAGGATCTTCACGGCCCCCTGACTGCCAGGCACTGTCCACCCTGGCACAGGGCTAAGCTTCTGCAGTGGCCACCTTCCCTGAACCCCTCCAGTAAGTGGTTGCAGCCAAAGAGCATTTGGTGGGAGTAGGGGCTGCGGGGCAGTGGCGTCCAAAGGAGCTTGCACAATGGACAGAACAGGCAACTCCAGGTCACTGCCCGACAGCCAGAGGGCCACAGTGAGAGGCCAGTCGCTGGGGCTGGGTGAGGGGCTGCTGGGCACCGAGTGAGAAGCAAGGAAGTAGACCCCAAACTAAAGAGGATCACTTTCCTGGATGCTGCTACAGCACCTCTCCAGGTCCAGGGTACCCCCAACCCTGGCTGCTGGGAGCTGTGAGGGCCTCTCACTGACAAGAAAGGTCTCGGGTGCCCCCCCACAGAATCCACGCCTGCTCAACTTGCCTTTACTCTTAACAACTAACACTTTTATTGATTAGAAAAGCTAATTCTCTCCCTTTAGGACAGTGGTTCTGAACCTGTGGGTTGCGACCCACAGCAACTGTATTAAAGAGCCACAGCATTAGGAAAGTTGAGAACCACTGCTTTAGGAGAAGGAAGGTGGGTTCCAGGTCAGGTCACAGTCCCAGGGACAGTCCCAGGGCTAGATTAGCCTGCTCAGTCAGGGTCAGCCTGTTCAGGCCCAGGTAGGCTGCTCCTGGTCTGCAGATCACTCCCATTACACAGCCCAGGCCCACAGGGCAGGTCCCCAGGCAGCCTGCGCAAAGCTGCAGGCCCCTCTCTTCTTTGTGCTGAGACAGGGCCAGAAAACAACCCCCTCTAGCTGGCCCTGGAGAACAAGTAGACCTCTGTCTCATTTTGCTCCATAAGCATAAAAGAAAAGTGTGACTTGCTGCTCATGCTGGGAAATGCCCACACCCACTGGGCCTAGCTGGCCCTCCTGAGGAAGCAGCCCAGAGCAAAGCAGACATGCCTAGCTCACTCACCTGCCCAGGTCACTCCCACACTGTTGCTGACCCCTCAAGCCCTGAGTATGTTAGAGATGGGTCTCTAGATGACAACATCTGTGTGCCCCACCGAGATCCTGACCCTCCACTTTTAACCAGACAGAATAAGTGTTCACGAATGCAAATGGGGGAGAACTGGCCCCAAGAGGCTGAGAGACTCCTACAAGGTCACAGGTGCGGGGGCCTGATTGCCACCTGCCAGAAACTGGCAGCAGCAGGGAGATGGAGGGCACACTCCAGGTCCCGCTACCACCTGGGGAGGGTCTCAAGCCTCCTGAACTCCGGCGGCGGCGCCTCAGTCGCTTCACCACAGGTTCGCCAGGCAGGACCACTGAGCGGGCGACCCTGAGGGTCCCGATCACCAGGCAGCGCAGGGCGGGGCGGGGAGCCCGCGGGCGCAGTAATTACACAGCACGCCGGAGTTGCGGCTGGAGCAGACGTCCCGGGTGGCTCCAGGGTCCCGGGTAGCCCCGCCCTGCGCCCCTGTTCACCCTCGCTCCCCGGCCCAACCCCCTTTCTCCGTTCCCTCCCCGCCCCCACAAGGCCCTGTGCCCCTCCCCCACCGTCGCAGCCCCTTCTCCCCTCCCAAGAACCTATCCTCCGCCCTGCCCCCTCGCCCACACTCCGCTCACCCCCGGCCCTGCTCGTCCCAGGCCCTCGGCCGTGGGCCCCGGCCGGCCTCACCTTGAGCAGGTCCAGTGGGTGCGTGCAGCAGGCGGCCCCGCAGGAGGCCAGGCCTCCGAAGTACCAGCGTGACACTCGCGCCTCGGCCGCCATGGCCCGAAGGACCCTGGAGGACCCCGGCCCAGCCTACAGCACCCGCGCCGGTTCAAAGCGCTGCCACGCGCCCGCGCCCCGCACAGCCTATGCGCCCGCGCGGCACGGGGGCGGGGCTCGGGACCACGCCCCCAGCCGCTGTGGCCTGCGCCTTAAAGCGGCCCGCGGGAGCCTCGCCCAGGTGGGCCCGGCCGTGCGCCTCCCGCCTGCGTTGTTGTGTGCGCCCCGCTCCCCAGAGTCCTCGTTCTCCTTGTACCAGAATCGGCCCGGCTGTCAGCCCCCAGGCTGGGCCCTGAACTCGCACCTCCCGAGGCCACCCCGTCGCACGTCGGATCTCCCTGGCGGTAGCAGACTTGAGTCCACGCGCTCCCTGCCCCCGAGGGCATTAAAAACCTTCGGAGTCAGCTTGTACTTTAGATGGAAATCAGAGACTAAAGGCATTTGAGGAAGACTGGCCTAGGGCGGGCACGCGCACACTCCCTGGAGGTCCCAGCCAAGTCCGGTTCAGCTCTGACCAGAGGCACCAAGCAGCGGGATGGGTGGGGGGGGCAGAGGAGGAGCTGCGTTGTGAAAGCCTCAGTCACGGGGTTCGGGTTCAGGCAGTGGCTCGCCAGGTCTGGGCTCCACTCCTCAGAAGTACTGGTGCACCTGCCGGGCAAAGTGAAATCCAAGTCCCCACGGCCAATTTAGGGCTGGTTCACGCAGAGGACCTATGTCCTTAGTCTCAGCCTGGCTTCTGCTGTCCCACCCACATGGCCAAGGGTGAGGGGCGCTGGGAGAACAGCTCTTGATCCTCAGAACCTACCAAGACCCTAATATTGGGTTTGTACGCCGCGGGGTTTGCATCTGTGAACTAAAACCCCTCAGCCCTCTGCTAACTGAACGGACCCTTCTCAGCCAAGGGGACACCAGGAACACCTTAAAACTGAGTTTCCAGGTCAGGCATGGTGCCTCACGCCTGTCATCCCAGCACTGTGGAAGCTGAGGCAGGAGGATCTTGAGCTCAGGGGTCTGAGTTGCTGAGTTGGGCTGAGGCTACTGCACTCTAGCCTGGGCATAGAGCAAGACTCTTTTGAGAGGAAAAAAAAAATCCGAAACTAAGTCCCCAGCCATGAAAGGATGGGAAGGATAGAAAGCAGTTACAAATTCATGATTTTCCTTTGGAAATACTGGTGACTGCTCCTATACCTGTAACTGGTTGAATGTGTCTCTCACCACCCACTCAGTATAAAATCTTGTTCCTTTGTCCTTTGAAGTGTGTGTGCCTGGTTTTTGGCTGGGGCTCTGCTTCCCAACCTTTTGGAATGGCTACCTGGCAGACTGCTACCCTTTATGAGAATTAAACCTCTCCTTTTCCCAAAATATAAACCTCATTAAGTTTTTTTTAGTTAACACAACCTAAGCCTCTGATACAGTGAAGGAATCCCTGGGTGCCCAGAGGCATAAGATGACTGGCCACACAGGCACACAACAAGCAAACCAACAGGGGTGAGCTACTATACATAGTGGAGCTTCTCCGTGAAACAGTGGGTTTGCAAACAGCAGGTCAGGAATCCTGACACGGATCCCCAGCTGAATTCTCACATGTGCCATGGAGATTTGGCCACATGTCCAAGTCTCTGGCAGGGCAAGGTCATCAAAAACAGGGCTGTCTGGTGAGGCCTCTGGGTCAGTGTGTAGACATCATGTTGGGTCCAGCAGGGAGAACAGAGGCACATGGGAGGCCTGTGCTGTGTGGAATGGCAGAAGCCTGAAGGACAGGTACAAAGGGGCCTCTAGGGGGTAAGAGTGACTTGAGCTAGCTGTGGGGTTTGCTCTGTCAACCTGGATAGACACTGTAACTTGTCTGGTCTTGGGACAAGGCAGGACTTGGCCCTGAGGGCAGAGTTCATTGCCTTGGAGTGGGGGCAGGGTGCCAGGCAGGCCATGCCTAGCCTCAGGTGCAGGTGATGGTGTCACTTCCTGATTCTAAAGGTCATAATGACCCGTGGCTGGAGAATCATTAACCCTGAGGAACAACTACTGTGGCCAATGTGCACTTCCAGGGTTAGGACACAGCCTCTCCCATGCCACAGGTTAGTCAGGGACACTACGCTCAAGGTCCTGGGCCAGCTGCAAACCTCCTCCACAGGCAGCCTCAGGCTGTAGGCAATGCTCCAGACATGCAGCAGCCCTTCCTGGCCCCACAGAGGGGCAGCTTTGAAGTTGAACCCACAGGGTGTACCTCAGAACAGGTTCTTTGAACCAGGCATGTTTCCCAAGTGGGTGCTCAAACCCTCTTCTGTCTTCTGCCCTTAGGCTCAGCCTGAAGCTCCTAGAGTTGGCCTTGGGTTGAGTGTCAACTGAGGCAGGATTCCACTGTCCCTCTCCTATGCTCTGCTGCCCTGAGAGCAAGGCACCAAGAGGCCTGCAGCCAGGGTGGGCTCCAGGCATCCCAGCACCAGCACACCTCTCACCTCGGCCATGGGGTGACTGCCACTGACCCTGGGCCAGATTCACCTACTCCCCTTGTCCTAACCCCATCCAGTCACTTTGCTCAGGCCTGAGGAGTGGCTGTTGTCTCAGCCCTGCTGTGCAAAGTGCACCAGTCCTCCCCTCCTGTGCTAGTTAAGGGGTAAATACCCCACTTCCACCAACCTAAGATGAGGGCTGCAATTCTGAAAATTGAGAGGTTTCATACACAAATCCCACCCCTGTAAGCACAACAGAAGCTGTCCAGCCAGGTGCTGGAGTCAGTAGCCTCATACCAGGTCCCAATGCCCCCGTGTTCACTGCCTGCTGCAAGGAGCCTTCTGCACATGGGTCAGCAGACCCGCGGAGATCCCGTTGAGAAAGAAGCCTCTCCAAGGCCCAAACTACCTGGCTCTGGGGGCCTTCCTGACTGCCAGAAAGCCAGTACTCCACACACTGCAAGTATTTTCTCAGCTGTATTTTTCTCAGTGGCCACCAGAGGACATTGTCTCTTGAGCGTCCTCGAATCATTCTCTTGGCGTCTCACACAGGCAGCAGCTGTCCCTCTCTCTGGACACAGTAGGTCCGTCTGCCTGGCCATGCTGACCTGTCCACATGGAACCAGCAGCTGTCACTCCCCCACTCCCTGGTGCTGAGGGTAAGAGTGGGCAGCATGGGTAGTAGGCAGGGCCCCATCAGGGTCCCAGGGACCCTGAACACAAGTCCTCGAAGCCAGAGTTTACTCCAGAACCACGGTGCCACCCACGGCTTCCAGGGCAGCCTTGATCTTCTCAGCCTCTGCTTTGGCGACGTTGGCTTTGATTTCCTGGGGCAGTGACTCTACCAGCTTCTTTGCCTGTGTCAGAAAGCAAAGTTAGAACTGTGGGGGCCTAGACCGGCACAACCAAACAGGCCCTGAGAGGGACTAGCACCAAGAAACATCACATTTGCCTTCCACTAGGGAGAGGCCTCTGTGCCCACCTGGACAAGGTTTATGCCCTGGATGTAGTTCTTGATTTCTTTGATCAGCTTCACTTTGTCTACTGGCTTTGCTTCTGTCAGGCGGACAGTGAAATGTGTACGTTCTTTTTGTTTGGGGATATCTTCTTCTGCCACCTTGGGGAACAAGAAAGAATGGCTAAGAAAGGGGTGGTGTAAAGCCACACTCAAGCAAACACTCTTGCTGCTGGGCTGCCCCATCCCAGAGCCTCACAGGGACATGCAGGCAAAGCACAGGCTGATTCCTAGCTCCTGATGACCCATCGAAGCCTGGAGTTGGATGGAAGGCAAGTTTCTTAGCTAATGTGTTCCTCAACAAATCAGCGCCTTTTCACCCTTCTGCTAGTCACAGTTCAGATCTGGATCTACCACTGAGGTGTGCTTGTGAATGTGCACTCCTTCCCCCAGACTCTGCTTTAAACTAGCCTGAGGAAAAGCGAGACCTGATCTCTCCCAAGAGAAAAACTAGCCCAGCATTGTGACAAGCACCTATAGTCCCAGCTACTTAGGAAGCTGAGCTTAAACAAAAGGATCACTTGAGCTCAAGAGTTTGACGTTGTGGGTCAGCACCTGTGGCTCAGTGAATAAGGCACCAGCCCCATATACTGAGGGTGGGTTTGAACCTGGCCTGGGCCAAACTGCAACAAAAAAATAGCCAGGCGTTGTGGCGGGCTACCCGGGAAGCTGAGGCAAGAGAATTGCTTAAGCCTAAGAGCTGGAGGTTGCTGTGAGCTATGACACCACAGCACTCTACTGAAGGTGACAAAATGAAACTCTGTCTCTAAAACTATTTAAGGGTTTGCTCAAGTGGTTAAGGTGCCAGCCACATACACCTAAGGTGGTGGGTTGGAATCCAGCCTGGGCCCGCCAAAACAATGACGGCTGCAACCAAAAAAAAATATAGCCAGGCACTGTGGCAGGTGCCTGTGGTCCAGCTACTTGGGAGGCTGAGGCAGGAGACTCGCTTGAGCCCAGGAGATGCCACGACACTCTACCCAGGGGGATAGCTTGAGGCTCTGTCTCAAAAAAATAAAAATAAAAATAAAATAAATTTAAGAGTTTGAGGTTGTGGGCCGGGCACAGGGTCTCATGCCTATAGTCACAGAACTCCAGGAAGCTCAGACAAAAGAATCACTTGAGCCCAAGAGTTTGATACCAGGGCACTCTACCAGGGGCAACAAAGTGAGACTGTCTCAAAAGAAAAAAAAAAGGTTAACAGAAAAATGGTACCCGCTCTTGTCCAAGGCCAAATGAACATATGAATGAAAAATCAATGGCCACTTTAGACTCTACCCTTGCAAGTGACCTACAATGGGCTAGATGGGCGTGCTGTCACCTGACCGAAGATGAGCCACAAAGAGGAGCTGTGTCTGAACCGCCCTGGCCCAGCCAGTGTGGACTTGCTGCCTGGTCAGGAGCACACCCGACTCGTTCACAAAGGCAATCCAGTGTATATAGTAGGTTGAAGAGCAATCCTGCCTAGTCTTGCCCTAAACATGCAGACTGAATCTCCTCTAGTTCTTGGGGACACAGTGTGATGTCCCATGGGAGCACATTGCCTCTGGAATGTGGGACCCTCCACAACCTGAGTGGCTTCCTCAGTAGGGGACACAGTTGAGGGCAGGGATCTGACAATGTGGTTTTGGGCCTACTGGTTTCCTTGAAGAGACCCAAACATGCTCCCAGCAGCCCAGAGCACAGAAGTGCCCATCACTTTTCCCTGTCCTTGCCTATGTGGGATCCTCCACCTCCCTGAACCTCAGACACCATCTACCCAGGCAGCCCTTGTGCCAGGGGTAGTGGCTGGGTGTCCTCCACTCTCCCAGTCTTCCTCAACTTTTACCTTGTTGTGGCCTTCCTTGAGATTGCATCCCAATCTCCATTAAGATTGCATCCCTCCATTTTTCTTTTCTCTCTCTCTTTTTTTTGAGATAGAGCCTCAAGCTTTCACCCTGGGTAGAGTGCCATGGAGTCACTGCTCACAGCAACCTCAAACTCTTGGGTTTAACTGATCCTCTTGCCTCAGCATCCCAAGTAGCTGGGACTCTAGGGTCCCGCCACAACGCCTGGCTATTTTTGGTTATGGTTGTCATTGTTGTTTGGCAGGCCTAGACCAGATCGAACCTGCCAGCTCTGGTGTATGTGGCTGGCGCCTTAGCCGCCTGAGCTACAGGCGCCGCCCCTTCATTCTTCTGATATCTGATAAAATTCAACTGTTTAATTTCTTCCTTTGTCTGCTCCCCTGTTAGAAACATCTCCATACTGCAGAGACTCGTGCATCCTTGGCAGAGAGAGGTCTGTTGCATACACAGACGCTCCGGTCACAGAGTGAAAGAAGAGAACCTGAGGTGAGGGACAGCAAGAGGTATGTGGGCACCACAGAAATGCCTTTCGCCTGGTACCCTGGCCCAGCTCACCTCCGGGGCTGTTGCAGTGGGGACAGCACCAGGCACCACCCCACCCGTCGGCATGAGGCCCACATCCTGGATCTTCAACGTTTTCTGCAGAAACAGAGAATAGTGCTCACAGCTGGCCATCACACCCAGAGTGG